CTGCAGGGGCGGCAGCAGCTGGCCTGTACCCGCAGTGTCCTGGCTGGCGCTCCAAGGCGTGCTCGTGGGCGACCGCCAGGGGGGTCTCTCCCCAGACAGCTTGTGCTGTCTCCGTTGGGCTTTGCCAGGGCAGGAACGTGGGACGAGAAGGCCCAGCCGGTCCGTTCTGCACCGTCGGCGCAACGCTTGGCATTGTGCCCATGACTGTCGGCCCTGCTCCGGCCTCTCCTGCCTGTGCGGGGAGGGGGCCAGGCCACACCGCTTACTGCACCGGACAAGGCAAGGGACCCGGCACCGTGTCAGCCCCGGGCTCCTCGTAGCTGGCAGCCTCCTTCCTCCCCGTGTGCCCGCACCTGGTGCCAAGGTCCGGAGCTGGCATCTCGGTCCCAAGGGCCCTGCCTGCACATGCAGGCATTAGCGGGCCCTGGGCCCTGCCTGGTGCCACTTGCCCCTCTCCTTACGACTGTGGGGTGGGGAGGGGCTAACCTGTGCCCTATGGGGCAGGAGAGCAGCCTTGTCTTGCTGCTGCACCTGCTGCCCCCAGAATGCTGCGGCCACAGTCCTAGGACTTGTCCTAGTGCTGTCAGGCTGGAAGCGGCCTCAAGGTAACTGAGCCCGGCCCCCTGCATGGGAACACGAGAACAGCCAGACTGGGTCAGGCCAAAGGTCCTTCCAGCCCAGTGTCCTGCCTGCCCACGGTGGCCAGTGCCAGGTGCCCCAGAAGGAGTGATCCCTCCCCTGTAACCCACCTCCAAGGAAACCGGGGCGAGGGACACCATCCCTACCCAGCCTGGCTAACAGCCATTGACGGACCCAACCTCCATGAGTCTAGCTCTCTTTTGAACCCTGTTAAAGTCCTGGTCGTCACCACACCCTCTGGCGAGGAGTTCCACAGGTTGACCTTGCTGAGTGAAGGAAAACTTCCTTTTGTTTTAAACCTGCTGCCTGTTCGTGTCATCTGGTGACCCCTAGTTCTTTTATTGTGGGAATAAGTAAATAACTTTTCCTTATTCACTTTTCCCAACCAGTCATGATTTCATAGACCTCGATCATATTCTCCTTTAGCCTCCTCTTTTCTAAGCTGAAGAGTCCCAGTCTTTTTAATCTCGCTGCATATGGGACCCGTTCCAAACCCCTCACCTTCTCTGAACCTTTTCCAATGCTAATAGATCTTTTTTGAGATGAGGTGACCACATCTGTACACAGCATTTAAGATGTGGGCGTCCCATGCTGTTCTACAGAAGCAATAAGATGTTCTGTCTTACCCATTATTATTTTTTTAATGACTCCTAACGTTCTATTTGCTTGTTTGACGGCCGCTGCACACTGAGTGGATGTGTTCAGAGAACTCTCCGCAGTGAGTCCAGGGTCTCTCTTGAGTAGTTGTAGCCAAATTAGTCCCCATCATGTTGTATGTCTAGTTGGGATTATTTTTTCCAAGGTGCATTATTTTGTATTTATCGACATTACATTTCATTTGCCGTTTTGTTGCCCAATCACTTAGTTTGGGGAGATCCTTTTGAATCTTTTCAGTCTGCTTTGCTCTTCACTATCTTGAGCAGTTTGGGATCATCTGCAAATGTTGCCATCTCAGTGTTTACCCCTTTCTCTAGGTCATTTATAAATAAGTTGAATAGGATGGGTCCCTGGACAGACCTTCGGGGGACCTCACTAGTTACCTCCCTCCACTCTGAAAACTGACCATTTATTCCTACCCTTTGTTTCCTGACTTTTAACCAGTTATCAATCTATGAAAGGACCTTCCCTCTTATCCCATGACAACTTACTTAAGAGCCTTTGGTGAGGGACCTTGTCAAAGGCTTTTTGGAAATCTAAGTGCATTATATCCACGGGTCCCCCTTGTCCACCTGTTTGACCCCCCTCAAAGAACTCTAGCAGATTAGAAAGGCCTGATTTCCCTTTACAGAAACCATGTTGACTTTCCTCCAACAAATTATATTTGTCCTTGTGTCTGACAATTTTATTCTTTACTATAGTTCCACCTAATTTGCCCAGTACTGACGTTAGATTTACCGGTCGGTAATTGCCAGGATCACCTCTAGAGCCCTTTTTAAATATTGGTGTCATGTTAGCTATCTTCCAGTCATTAGGTACAGAAGCCGATTTAAGGACAGGTTACAAACCAGTTAAAAGTTCCGCAATTTCCCATTTGAGTTCTTTCAGAACTGTTGGGTGAATGCCGTCTGGTCCCGGTGACTTGTTACATTTATCAATTTGTTCCAAAACCTCCTCTAATGACACCTCAATCTGGGACAATTCCTCAGATTTGTCTCCTAAAAAGAATGGTTCCCGTTTGGGAATCTCCCCGGTATCCTCAGCCGTGAAGACTGAAGCAAAGAATTCATTCAGCTTCTCCGCAAGGACTTCTTCACCTTTGAGTGCTTCTTTAGCATCTCCCCTGTCCAGTGGCCCCCTTCCTGCTCCTGATGCACTAAAAAAAGTTTTGCTTTTTACTTTTGGAGTTTCTGGCTGGCTGCTTTTTCAGACTCCTTTTTGGCTTTTCTTATTGTATTTTTCCACTTAATTTGACAGTTTATGCTCCTTTCTATTTTCCTCACTAGGATTTGAGTTCCACTTTGTAAAAGATCTTATGTCACTGCTTCTTTTACCTGGTTAATTCCCAGCGGCACTTCTTTGGTTCTCTTACTGTGTGTTTTCATTTGGGGTATACATGGAAGTTGGGCCTCTCTTAGGGTGTCTTTGAAGATTAGCCCTGGCTGGTGTTTGTCCAGCCTGTAGTGCCGGGGAACCCACAGCTCCCTTGGGCGCCTGCTCTGCAGCTTAGCTAGCCTGAGAGAAAAGGGTTTCCTGGGGACCCTGGCTGCAGGGGGTCCCCTTGCCTCTTGTCCCGTCTCCCGTGGCCAACAGTTGAGCGCTGTCTCCTTGGGATGAAGCTGGCTGGGTTTTCCTGGGTGCGTAATCGCACCCCTGAGGTTCCACCCTCCTCCCGGGGCAGGCTGGCTAAACCTGGAATCGTTCTGGTTGCTGGCCTGTGGACACGCTCCACTTTGTCAACCTCTTGCCTAATCTTTGTCCCCCAGGGCAGGATGTGCTGTTGCAGCGGAGGCCTTGTCGCGCCGCGACAGGGCCTCCCCCGTCTTACACGGACACTCCTGTTACTAGCAGCCTCCTGTCCGCCTGCTTCCTCAGCTCCTTCTGTTTGAGCCACTGGAGTCCTCCAGGGGCTCCCCAGCCATGCTGCGGCCTGGCCAGCCCCTCCCCACGTCCACCGGCTCACCGCCCCTCCCAGCGCACGCTGGCTAAACACGCTCTCCCCTGCATGGTCCAAGCCACCGATGCAAATAGCAGCAGCCCCCGGCTAGATCCCCCTCCCAGCACAGGAGCCTTCCAGCGGGAGTTCTTCCCCTGTCTCTTGGAAGGACCCTGCTAATTCTTCAGAGCCCCACATGCCCCCTGAGCAGAGGGCTGAGTGGTGCTGGGCCGTCTCTCGGCACACTGCTCCGTAGTGCCCATGTTGCCTGGCACCAGGACGTGAGCTGGCTGGGCGCGCCCCCGCGGAGGGCTCAGACGGGCGCGTCCCCGCGGAGGGCTCAGACGGGCGTGCCCCAGTGGAGGGCTGAGAGTCTCGGGGGGGGGCGGCGGGGAGCTCCCCCCCGGAAC